GCCGGGCTGCGGGTCGCGGGAGAGGAAAGAGCCAGGTCTCGAGGTGCGAACATCCTTGGTAGGTTTCCAAGTGCGATGGATTCAGCTGCGAAACTATTTTAATACGTGAAATAGATCTAATTTTCCTTTTTGAACAAAACCCCTTATTTACATTTGGAGGTTATTCTGAGCCTGTGCCATCTGCTCGGCGTCTCTGCCTCCCGCTTCTGGGCGTGGGGGTGGAGCCCAGCCGTCTCCGTGGCAGACGCCGCCCCGTCCCACACGCTGTCCTGGGAGAGGCCACCCAGAGCCCGGCGGAGGCCACGCCGGCCAAGTGCACGTCCTCCAGGGGCTGCGGGCACACGAAACACGCTCTTAGTTTCTTGCTTAAAAGACGTCTCTCGTTTCAGAGCTCACAGGGGCCTTTGCAGTCGGTAATTACGGCCCAGGGTGTGGGGTGCTGGCCGGGCTCCAGGGAGATGCGCACAGGGGTGCAGCTCACGCTGCCCTCTGCAGGGCTCACACGGGGTCGGGCACTTGCCCAGGGACCTGCCTCCGGGCTCCAAGCTCTTGGACAGCTGGGTCTTGTGGTCCCCGGTGGAGAAAGCAAGGGAGGGGTTGTTTTTATTGTGAATGGTGGCGCAGGTGATGCCGCCGCTGCTTGCTTCCTCCGGGCTGATGACCAGCTCCCTCCTTACTCCTTATCCCGCCTGTGGGCGGACATGCAGGTTTTGCCTTGAGCCCCGCTCTGGCCAGGCTTGTCTGACCCGGCCCCTGGAGCCAAGGCGGGTGGGGCAGAGGAGGAGCCTGCCCAAGGCCACACAGCCGGCCAGCGGTCGGAGCGGGCGCAGGGTCCCTGGCGCGCTGCCCTCGTGCCAGATCCACAGCCTTAGGCCCTGATGCCCTGACCGTCTGCCGCCCTGGACGTGTGGCCAGGGACCGTCCCCAGGTGCGGCGTGGCCCGCAGGGCCGAACAGCGAGGCGGGCGACCGTGGGTCTTCGGGCTGAGGCCAAGAGAGCCCTGAGCGCCACGTGGTGTCTGTGCCCGTGGGAAGCGGG